GTCAAATCAAAATACTTTTATTGACGGGTGTTACTTTATTTCACAATAGACAGTTTCGCTTCCTTCGCCTTTCCTACGCAGACTAACTCGCAGTTGCGCCGCTAGTCTTTTTATATGCAATTATTACTGCCATCTCGAGGTGATCGGAAAACACTAGCTAGAACCAGAACTTTCTCGAACAAACGCGGTAATTCCAAATATTTAATTACGCCTAATGCCACCTAACAGGTAGCTGAGAAAGATAGTACATAGTACCACTACTCGCCACTAGATGTCGCTAAGTGTCACAATACACAATAATTGAAATGCAAAAAAGCGTAAGTTTGTTTAGGTCACGCACTTTGCGACTATCCTAGTCTAGAAATATACTTAAGGGCAGAAATTGGTCCTTGGAACAAACTGGAAAAATCATTATGGCCCGAAGGCTTCAAAGTTTGGACACCCCTCATCTAGATTATTAAAAGCCAACAATCCCACATGATATCCAGATTTTTCGATACATTTTTTATTTTGCTTACTTTTTGCAACTTGAATTTCAGATTTTGTATTATGCAAATATGCTCGCCGGCGTTTTGGAATCGCCTGAACTGAGATGCCCAAATATTTTAGATACGATAGAAGGTTCTCAATCGAAACCGAAATCATTACCTCCCTCTGATCCTCTCGCCGACGAACTGGGCGTTCACGTACTAGACTGCCGAATTCCTTATCTACCCTATTCCGAATTTTATAATGAACTTTTAAGCGATACTGTAGAAATGGACAGAGATTTCGCAAACTACAAAAGTGATTCAGGTATGGATATCTAGTTTTGCGAAACTCCACAGCAAGTCATTCTAATCCGCTTTTTTCTACAGGTAAATTCAGTTTTATGAATTATCCTTTCATTCTTACGCCAGCCACAAAAACATTGGGACTTTATTTCGATAACAGGATACGGATGTACTCGGAAAGGAGGATAAGTTTCATGCAGGCGTTCACAGGGATGCCGTCTCAGCCATTTCTGAAGCTGAAAGTCAGAAGAGATCACATTATCGATGACGCTCTGGTCGAGGTAAGTGAACAATCAATATTTGTGTATCTTCGTCGATAATAGTCAATATTTTTATATTTTGTCATCAGTGAATATTATCTGTTCTTTTCGGTTTTCAAAAGAGTCGATTACAAAGCATCAAACATGTCGTAATAAAATTCATAATCAACAAAATTGTTTTTTGTCTCTCGGCTTCAGTCACCGCGATATTATGAATAATTGTTCTAACTCGGACGTTGGAGAGATGAATTGTGGAGTACCTCAAGGCTCTGTGTTAGGTCCTATAGTGTTTCTGTTATACATTAATGATTTGACCAACATATCGATTACAGGAAGCTTTACTGACGACACCACATTAGTGTGGCATGACAAGGACAAAAGCAGATTACATAAAATGTGCCAAGACATGAAAAAAGTGTAGAATTGGTTTGACTCGAATCTTCTATCATTGAATACTAGCAAAANTTTACATCTTTGGGACTTGATAAAATTCCATTGCAGCTAACTATTAGACTACGGTTTTCCATATATGATTTCACCCAGTTCAATAGATTATTTGGGAAACCTAGGCCTGCAAGTTTAATTATAAGAAATTCGGAAGAAATGGTATCAAATGCTTTTGACAAATCGAAAAAAAGTGTTACAACTAGTTTATTCGAGTCAACCTGTGTATAAATGAAATTTAATAAATGGTATGAAGCTGATTCAATTGATTTGTTCTTCCTGAAGCCATATTGGTTATTACTAAAAAGATTATTTTGATCCATGTAATTCAGAATTCTGTTACTAACAACTTTCTCAAACAGTTTAGAGAGGGAACAAAGTAAAGATATCTGTCTGTAGTTGTCTACCTCAGTTTTGTCGCCTTTTTTATATAGAGGAAATATGAGAGCCGTTTTAAATACATTTGGAAAACAACCTACAAAAAATGACTGATTCATCAAAAACAATAGTGGCTCGATTATAAGGTCTACAATTTTTTTCACAGTAACTATTGAGATACCATCAGTACCTGCGGAGTTTTTATTTGCCATTGTTTCCAGAGTACCTAGAATTTCTGTCTTTGTGAATGGGGATGTATCGAAGGGATACTGACTAACAGTATTCTTCGAATAGGTACAGGGAAGTAATACATTTTGACCATAATAATTGGGTAATTTAATTAATGAATACTGCTAGCGAATCAAATTTTGAAAAGAGATACAACAGAAAAAGAAACTATAAGTATAAATAAAATAAATAGAAATGGAATTTTTAATAATCAGTTGGAAACACTGTTCTATCTGAGATATTTATATATATGATTATCCCATCATTTTGATTCAAACATTCTACATTGTATATCATCTCATAATCATTTAATCTATATAATAACTAATTTTTGATTTCCCAAGTTTCAGTTAATATTATGCAACTAAATGATTTTTTTATTTGCGAGATATAAACTTCTAATTGGTTAAAAATTTTAAAAATAACACAAATATTAATATGGCATAAGAAAACAACAAGAATATTGAAAACTAATCGCCTCATTCGAATCATCTGTTTGATTCAGGTTTTTTATGTCTTTTGTGAATTGACTACAATTCTGTTGTAGCTACTTTTTTACCGCATGAATAATTTATGTACATCCTCAGCTGGAGATGATTTCGATGGATAACCCGAAGGATTTGAAAAAGCAGCTGGTCGTAGAGTTCGAAGGGGAGCAAGGAATCGATGAAGGAGGAGTATCGAAAGAATTTTTCCAACTCGTCATCGAAGAAATCTTCAATCCGGACTATGCCATGTTCGCGGTGCAGGCCGAATCGCAAACCGTATGGTTCAACCCGACTAGTTTCGAAAGCGACGCCCAGTTTACTTTGATAGGAATCGTTTTAGGGCTGGCCATCTACAATAATGTCATTCTAGCAGTTAATTTTCCGATGGTACTCTATAGGAAGGTGATGGGAAGGCAAGGGAGCTTTGAGGACTTGCAGGATTGGAATCCGGTAAGAAATTATATGAATCTTCGTAGATTGTAACGTAGTTCCAATAACGTAATTATTTTTTGGAGAAAGAATACAAACATGGAACGAATTAATCACATATACAAACGTGAGTCGTCGAAAATTTCTTAGATATTGAGAACAGCAAGAGAGACTCATAATTTTTTTTTACACGCTTTATATTAGGTTCACCTGTATGTATGTTTGTTTGCTTGTAACTCTCAAGCTTGGGATCTGTATTGACAGAATTATCGGCATTATTGCTTGATCTATTCGCGGGCAGATGACGCTGTACGTAACTATCAATTATTGCATAATCTATTCGCGGGCAGATGACGCTGTACGTAACTATCAATTATTGCTTGATCTATTCGCGGGTAGATGGCGCTGTATGTAACCTCTTTGATAGGTTGTTTTTATGGAGAATATTGGATTATACAAAATTTATTGGAAGAGGTTTTTCTCGAAAGATTTTCAAGAATATGATGATAAGTATAAAAGGTAGGACAGAGAGCGTAAAGAGCCATAGAATCCAATTGAAATCTAAAAGTGACAAATGTGTATAAATAGAAAAGGCACTATTTTTTGGAAAATTGGTTTTCTACTTCTCCATCACTAAACAAAAAATGTATGAAATTTTCAAAAAAAGGAAGAATGAAATCAACGGCAATAAAAACTCTTTGCAAGTATGTCTAGATAATGCACAGAAGTTTCATTCAGAAGAATTCTGCCAGTTTGAATAACGTCATTTTTTGGACCAAATACGAGTTTTTCTATGGATCCTTCTGGACATTCTTGCCCTTTCTACGTCCGTATAAAGTTCTCCAATTTTTGTTGTTTCAGATTGTAAATGGTGTGAATTCCCAGAAAGATCCATAGAAAAACAATATTTTGATTGTGGTAAACTTTTCACACTCGGATTTATAGAGTGATATTCATATTAACTGGAATATGTATTCTTGCAGGTTTTGTACAACAGTTTGAAGCAAATGTTGGAATATAATCAACCTGACTTTGATGAAGTGTTCATGCAGACTTTTAGGATAAGTTACCAGGACGTTTTCGGTTCGACCATCGACTATGACTTGAAAGAAAATGGTTTTGAGATACACGTAACACAAGAAAACAAATATGTTAGTTGAATGTACTAAATGATGTGTTATTTTTCAGACTGAATTTGTTTTCAGGAATTCGTTGACCTTTATGCGGATTTCCTCTTGAACAAGTCTGTCGAAAAACAGTTCCACGCTTTCTATAAAGGATTCCAAATGGTTGTGGATGAATCGCCTCTCGAACTGTTGTTCCGTCCTGAAGAAATCGAACTACTGATTTGCGGTAGTAAAGTAAGTTCCCGTTTTCCAATAATTGAAATTCATTTTTATGCCAAATGTTTTCATAAATTAGCCGAAGACGTATGCAAGAATGGGTACATTTATTTCATTCAATCATCATTTATAGTTGTGTGCATTCCTGAATAATATTGAATACTATTTTTCACAGTTCAGATATTGAATTCAACACTGGAAGATGAAGAAATGTTCCTTGAAAAATGTATCACTCGTTTCACCTGCTATATAAAAGTATTTATTTCAAATATAGACCACAACTGTTCACTTCAGTTAAAAAAAAAAAACTTTCAGTACCTTATATCTGGCTCGAAGGACCATATTCACAAGTACACTGTATCCTTCCAATTCATTTCTTTCAAAATTCAAACTTTCAATGTGCAGTTCGAAATGAATTTCTTATCTCAGTCGGAACTATATTAAAGCATAATAGGCTGCACTTGTTGAATTCCCAATTCTTATAACGAAAAATCGTTACAATCATCTTAGTAACAAGTGACGTCACCTTCATATGAGACACTTCAGATAATTCGACTATTTTTGATATGATTTCTTTTTTTTTTTTTTGTACGTGGTTACCAATTTGAATACTTCTTTATGGTAAGCTATGGTGAAAGATGTTTGGAAAGAGGCATATAATAAGACATATAATCGATTATTTATCAAATAGACATAAGTCAGGTCACTGAAAAAAGTTACAGAAGCTATCTATCCTTTTATTTCACTGATTGGTTGATTCCCTAGTTGCTCACTATGGGTTGCAATCACCTAATGGAATCTACAACACCTCAAAATAAATCATGTATCACTGAAAGGTGAAGAAATGTTCTTCGAAATAATTCTCACTCATTTCACCTGCTATACAGAAGTATTCATTTCGAATTACCAAGTCACTATAGGCCAGCAACTGTTCACTTCAGTTTCGAAAAAAACTCTTATTATCTTATATCTGGCTCGAAGGACCATATTCGCAAATACACTGCATCCTTCTAATTCAATATATATAGAGAGAAAACATCCTACTTACTATATGGAAGTCGCTAATGTTGGTAACTGAATCAATAATAACTCAAAAAAATGCTGAAGCACAATAAACTGTAACAAAATAATTTTTATTGTGTAACCCAATTCATCATTGAGCCTCATATTGCTATCATGAATCAAACAGTGAATTTACTTCTAATAATAATGAAAGGCAGATCATATACAGAATAGGAATAGTAATAGGTCCAAAGAAACCCCACACAATAGGTCCCCCACATAATAGATCCGGAGAAACCCCACACATGACACCGCAGGAGTATGCTTCAACTAGTCATCAAGTTTTACCATCTGGTCCAGCATGTTCATCAATTTCACATTTCTTTCAGGGTACTTGTTCGTTTATAGCATTGCTTGCCCCCAATGATAATATTATTCTTTTACACAAAGCCATATGTGGTTTCAGAACTTCGACTTTGACGAACTAGAAAACTCCACAGAATACGACGGAGGTTACACAAACGACTCGCAAATTATCAAAGACTTCTGGTCCGTGGTCCATTCTCTGTCGCTGGAAGACAAGAGGAGGCTTCTGCAGTTCGCGACGGGTTCAGATCGTGTCCCGATAGGCGGGTTGAGTAAACTGAAGATGGTTATAGCGAAAAACGGCCCAGACTCGGACAGGCTACCCACTGCTCACACTTGCTTCAACGTGTTGCTGCTGCCCGAATATTCATCCAAAGAAAAACTGAAGGACAGACTGGTCAAGGCGATACACTACTCCAAGGGATTCGGCATGTTGTAAAATGTGGTGTTGTGGTCTTGTCGTGATAAGTAGTGTATATGCAGTTACTAACAAACTGTAATATTGTTTTTAATAATAATCATGTACAGCTGTCGATTAAGTTTCTATTGATTATTGGTCGGTTGGCTCTTTTTATATTGTGCACACTTTTTTGATGGAATATACGTCAGGATCGTGAATAAACAATGTTGAAATACTAGGGTTATTTGTCGTTGTTTTCTGTTTACAAAATGATCTTCAGGTAGCAAAGTTTTTATTGATTATTTTGGGGTGGTAGGAATTGGTTACCTTTCATCTTATATCATTAATTGAAGAATACAAAATTTTCAAACATTTGTGAGAAACAAATTTATCCCGTGAAACTAATGTTCATACCTCTAAGAGTAATTTGCCCCTTTTAATGCAACTGAATAACATTTTTCAGGATGAGAAATTGTAACTCTATAGAATTTTACGATAATTTAGTTACTTTGAACTAGCTTTTAGCTGAATTAAATTAAACTCATATCATTGTGAGTAAATACAATTCAATTTGTTCAATCTGAAGAAAATCAAAGCAGTGAAATCCTCCTGAAATTTTGTATAGAGCCATATTTTCTTATCCTGAGCGTTTACTTTGATTCCATCAAAGTTGATACTAAATTGTGATATAACAGTTACGTATATCTGCAAAATGATTGATGAAATTATTGTTGAGAAATTGTAACTCTATAGAATTTTACGATAATTTAGTTACTTTGAACTAGCTTTGAGCTGAATTAAAGTAAACTCATATTATTGTGAGTAAATACAATTCAATTCGTTTAATCTGAAGAAAATCAAAGCAGTGAAATCCTCCTGAAATTTTGTATAGACCCATATTTTCTTATCCTGAGCATTTACTTTGATTCCATCAAAGTTGATGCTAAATTGTGATATAACAATTACGTATATCTGCAAATTGATGGATGAAATTATTGTTATTTCTCAACTAATTTCAGAACTTCTTTATTTGAATGGTTGAAATAAAAGGTCAAAAAGCCCTTCCAAGAATCTTCGGTCTGTGTTTCCATAAACTAATCAAAATGGTCTAACTGACAACAGACTCTTCAGTGCTTTTGAGAGAGTGAAAATAGCTGAGAGTGGCAATTATCTCAACAGCATCTTGTGAAGTGACTTTGAGCCACTCAAAAATATCTATAGAAATTAACAAGAGACGGGAAATTGATCCGGAGGTTGAAAAAATTAGTACAAAAAATTGATTAATAGTTTTATATAATATAGTTGTAAAGAAAATTACAAAATAAATAAATTACAGGAATTGTGTAAGAAAGTAGATATACAAAATGGTTCTACAACCTCTGAGAACATCATGATCATTGTGTATATAATATAAATAAAAGTATCACCAGTTAAATATGAAAAACTTGCTTACCAAAATATGAATCCCAAAATGTGAATCTTTTTGTATATAATGACTGTCCCAGTTCAGTATCTAAGAGGTGTATATACGTCAATGACGATCTAGATTCTGTGTTTTTGCATTGAAATTTTTCTTTTAGTAACGATTTTACAATGATATATAAGTTTAACGAAAACCTGCCGGTTGTAAATTACAAGTAGAGATGTAACATATGTAAACCAAGATATGGTATTCCACAAGACACTCTGTTAGGCCCCATTTTAATAAAGTTGTGGGTGGGAGATTCATTTAATACACAAAATGGTTCATAAGTGGCTCTGTTGAAAAAAAAACCCCTTGATTTCCAAACTGGGACATCCGATACAAGTACAACAATTTATTTTATTTTACCACGAATCATTTACCAATGATATAACAACACATTAGGCAATGTAAAATATTTCAATGAAAATGGGGTTCTATCGATAATTTGATAAAACAAAAACACATTAGCTAAAATTACAACCAGAAGTAAATGCAATGGAACTGATACTGACACAAGAAGAAGTGGAAAATATTTTCCCGATTTGTAATCTATTCAATGTGAAAGAGCACCTGTTCCTCTAAATCAGACTTGGATTTTGGTTCGATCTAACTATATTCCTAAAATTAGTTTACTGTAAGATTACATTAATTCGGGTGGTGAAATCTAGTAGTTTGGCAAGTGTTTACTGACTTACATTACATATTTGGTTTGATATCGTTTCGGGTAGGAATACAACTGCTATCTACTCAGATTCACCAGGGAGTACCACTCGCTCGTTTCCTCGTTCAGGTCAAGGGTGCTGAGATCCAGCTCGACACCCCCCATGAATTCGTTCTCCTGGAGAGGATCGTGGTTCCAAACAGTGGCTTGCAACACTCTCATTTTTATTATATCCAGGATCATCCTGTATTCCAGCTGAAAATAAGAAAGCCTTGGTATGAAGTACGTGAGGCGATATGGTAGACAAAAGCAAAAAGTGACGAAAAATCAATTTTTTTGAAGAAGTCATTCTTTATTAATATTGTTTACGAAAAAGTACGATTGTCGATTCAAAATAAACAAAATTGTATACAAAAAAGTTGAAAATTAAATTTTTTTCAAAGTAAAATATCCTTATTTTGAAGAGTTTGGCAAAATGCTATTTTAAAAAAACATAACACTTGTTTTACTATACAATAGCGTCCTCAGGCGTGTATGAACAATCAACCGCGACACGTGTATCACAATACAATAGCTTCCTCAGGCGCTTATGAACACGCAACTACAACACATGTTTCTCTATACAATAGCTTCCACACGCGATCGCAACACGTGTTTCACTATAAAACAGCTTGTCCAGCGTTTCTCGCTATCCAATAGCTTCTTCAGGAGCGTATGAACCCGCAACACGCGTTTCGCTATATAATAGCTTCCTTAGGCGTGTATGAACACGCAACTGCAACACGTGTTTCATTATACAATAGCTTTCTCAGGCGTGTACGAACACGCTTTCTCACTATACAATAGCCTCTTCAAGCGTGTATGAACACGCAACTCGTGTTTCACTATACAATGGCTTTCTCAGGCGCGTATGAGCATACAACCGTAACACGTGTTTCTCTATACACTGGCTTCCACAGGCGTGTATGAACACGAGTTTCGCTATATAAGGTCTTCCTTAGGCGTGTATGAACACGCAACCGCAACACGTGTTTCATTATACAATAGCTTTCTCAGGCGTGTACGAACACGGAATTTTACTATACAATAGCTTTGTTAGGCGAGTTTGAACATGCATTTCGCTATTCAATAGCCTTTTCGAGCGTGTATGAACACGCAACACGTGTTTCACTTTACAATGGCTTTCAGGCGTGTATGTGCATACAACCATAACACGTGTTTCTCTATACACTGGCTCCTACAGGCGTGTAATAACGCGACCTCAATACGTGTTTCACTATACAATTGCACCCTCAGGCGTGTATGAACACGTGTTTCGTTATACAATAGCTTTCTCAGGCGTGTACGAACACGGTTTTTCACTATACAATAGCTTTCTTAGACGCGTTATACCATAGCCTTCTCAAGCTTGTATGAACACGCAACCGCAACACCTGTTTCACTATGCAATAGCTTCCTCAGGCGTGTATGAACACTCAACCGCAACACGTGTTTCACTATACAATAACTCAAAATCGGGAGTGTATGAACAGGTGTGCCGCTAAACAATGTCTTCCTTAGGCTGTATGAACACTCAACCTTAACACGTGTTTCACTATACAATAACTTTTATAAAATAACTTCCTAGGGCGTGTAAGAACAAGCGACCAGCAACCCTTGTTTCACCATAAAATAGTTTCTTCAGGCGTGTATGAACATGTGTTTCATTCTACAATATCTTCCTCGTGCGTGTAAGTACACGCAATCGCAACACGTGTTTCAGTATTTTTACTATACAATAGCTTTGTTAGGCGCGCATGAACACGAATTTCGCTATCTATTAGCCTCTTCAAGCGTTTATGAACACGCAACACGTGTTTCGCTATACAATTACTTTCTTAGGCGTGTATGTGCATACAACCGTAACACGTGTTTTCTATACACTGTCTTCCACAGGCGTGTAATAACGCGACCGCAATACGTGTTTTACTATACAATAGCACCCTCAGGCGTGTATGAACACGAACACGGTTTTTCACAATACAATATCTTTCTTAGGCGCGTTAGAACACGCATTTCGCTATACAATAGCCTCTTCAAGCGTGTATGAACACGCAACCGCAACACGTGTTTCACTATACAATGGCTTTCTTAGACGCCTATTAGCATACAACCGTAACACGTGTTCCTCTATACACTGGCTCCTACAGGCGCGTAATAACGCGACCTCGATACGTGTTTCACTATACAATAGCACCCTCAGGCGTGTATTAACACGTGTTTCGTTATACAATAGCTTTCTCAGGCGTGTACGAACACGGTTTTTCACTATACAATAGGTTTCTTAGGCGCGTATGAATACGCATTTCGTTATACCATAGCCTTCTCAAGCTTGTATGAACACGCAACCGCAACACCTGTTTAACTATGCAATAGCTTCCTCATGCGTGTATGAACACTCAACCGCAACACGTGTTTCACTATACAATAACTCAAAATCGGGAGTGTATGAACAGGTGCGTCGCTAAAGAATGTCTTCCTTAGGCTGTATGAACACGCAACCTCAACACGTGTTTCACTATACAATAACTTTTATAAAATAACTTCCTAGGGCGTGTAAGAACAAGCGACCAGCAACCCTTGTTTCACCATGAAATAGTTTCTTCAGGCGTGTATGAACATGTGTTTCATTCTACAATATCTTCCTCGTGCGTGTAAGTACACGCAATCGCAACACGTGTTTCAGTATACAATAGCTTCCGCAAGCGTGTATGAACACGCAACCGCAACATGTGTTTCACTACTGAACAGTTTCCTCAGGGTATGTATGAACACGAAACCACAATGTGTTTCACTATACAATGGCTTCCTCAGGCATGAATAAACACGTGAGAGTGAGTTTCAATGTTGACATCTAGGAATTTCCACTGACACGTGATGGAATTTGCCGATAATTGATAAAACACTTCACTGTGAAATTTTCACTACATAGTTTTACAAAAACACAACACGTGTTTTGCTATACAAAACTGAAAGTGTTTATTTTCAATATTGAATCACTGATTTTCTAAATGCAGTGCTCAACCAGGACGAAAGAAAAACTTGAACAACCGAATAACAAATCAGAACTACGTACCATTTCCATAAAACTGGGATGACAATAGAACTACGTACCATTTCCATAAAACTAGGATGACAATTCTTCTTGACCACTTTCGTCTTCCTTTTCGTATTTTTCTGCGTGTCAGGTTGCAGATAAACTTTAACATAAGTGGAAGGTTCCTGACCGTTAGCTAGCCTCGGCAGTCCTCTGGCGTGGTGCACCATTACTGTAAAAACTCCTTTTCTATATTGCAACGATAACTTCAACTGACCCTTCAAACGTCCAGCTTCGTATTGGGTGTCCCCTGTTCGATCTGAATATCAAAAAAATATGTTATTGTGAAGTTAGTAATGACATATTTCAATTCATTTTGACATGTGGCAACATACATCTAATTTGGTGAGAGATTTTTTGATTATTCATAACCTTACTTTCTTATTATTATAAATTTAGGTTATTACCTTTGACTTTCTTCGAATACTCATCAGAGTACTGTTGATCTCTCAATAATGGATGAAAGAAAGTATAAACTAAATCGGAATGAGCTATTTCGTGAGCGCACAGGAATAGCGACTTCACGAAAAGACTGACCTCGTGGAACCTCTTCTGGGCTACCTGCTTTATATTCGATCGTCCCATGTGAAGGCCGGTGGAAAGGCTGAAAGGTAAGAAAAAACAGCGTTTAGTGTTTTCCTGAATCTTCAAATTCTATTTTTGTTCTTGGTAATGTTGATTTCATGCCTGAACCTATGCTATGAATGAGGAAAGTAATACCGTAAATTCAAAGAATTATCAAGCCCATCATGAAAGAAGCAAATGTCAGCAAGCAAATGTCGGTTTCGGTCTGCAAGTGTATTCGTCTCAAAGTTGCTGAATTTTGACCAAAAAAACCGTCACATGAGCATCGACCAGAATTATTGAATGCCGTCAACGGCGAAATAAAATTTCGAAACATTAGTCTCTTCCAACTACCTACACAATAGGTTGTTTTCAAGCAGCCATTTACAAGAACGTGAGAGAGAATATTTCGGAATTTTATTTCAAAATATTGTTGTAAATCGTGCCCGAAAGGAAATAACGCCGGCCGCCACTGGTAACCATAAACCAAACGTGACGTAGCTGAGAGCGTGGGAATATCCAATGTTACCTGCAGCTCGAGAAGCAGCAAGAAACATGCTACCGATGTCGATGGAACTGCGGCGAAATTCTACGATGTTCCATTGCGATATTTAAACGCTGGCTGCAAGCGCATTTGGACAGTCGAGTACACAGTGAAGTGGACGTTACAGTGCGATACGCGAAGTGATCTAGTAAGGCGACAGACATTTACATAATAGTTGAAATTTTTAGTTAAAGTGTTTGTTGTATTTCAAGTGAAATAAAGTTAAGTTTGATTATTCAGTGTAGTCAATTATTGGTCAACCCACAGGCGAAAACGTAACAATATTTATTTTCTTATACTAATTATTATCATTTAGCGATTATTTCAGTTTCTATACTGATCCCGGCAAATAGTTTGTTGCTTTCAGACGAAATAAATTAGGAGATATGTCGATAATTTAGATCAATACAAATAAAATCACCTCTCCTTTACATTGTTATTACTGAAAAAACGAGAGATAAAACTGAACCATATCAATGTAATCGTGCAAGATATCATAAATAAATGTTATCTATCTAGTTCGGATTAATATCGAACACTGTGTTCGAGATGGGTTTGTTTGGTGGTTTCAAGGCAAAGTTCACGAAAGATTCTAAAAGCAAAGAAAAATTACATAACAATGTGGTGGTTCTCAAGTATCACTGCTTTTCAGAGTTCGATGCCACAGATCGTGAGTATTTACGGATTTATTTATTAGAAAAAACGTTTCATCAAGACTAATATTATAAAAAAAAGACTTCATATTTTTCTATAAACAAGGAAAGCTAGAGCTAAGTACCGGGGTACATGTGAACAGACATTATTCAAAAAAGTAAAAATACTTCAAAACAAAGTCGTGAAAATGTTATTCAGGCTTGACTACAGAACTGCAGCTGATACTTTATACAGTGTAACCAAGATACTGCCTATTAAGGATGTTCTAGAAATCGAGCAAGATACATACAGGGTTATACATGAACAAGTCAAATGTAATACCAACTTCACTTTCGTTAATCAGTACGTAATAATATTGGCTTAAATAATCTCATTACACTATGCATGAAAACTTATAATTCTCTTCCCAAGGAAATAACAGATAGCCCTAATTTCAGTATCTTTTTTGTTGGAATCGACACGGTCGCCGTTTTGTTGTGGTTTTGTCCGTTTGGAGAAAATCCGCCTTCAGTGTATCAATATTATACGATGATGCTACCAAAAGTTCCCGGCCCAACAAAGAAAACAAACATTTTGGAAAAAATATATGTATTTTCGAACGTAACCTCTTTGCAGCTCTTTACACTTTTCCCAGGGACGTTGAATGAGTTCAATACCGTTATTATAATAAACTGTCTTACTCCTCAAAACAGCCATTTTTTTCAAGTTTGAGAACAGAAAATAATCCGAGGGGGCTAAATCTGGCAAATAGCAAGTCAAACTTTAATTCGTTGGTTTTGGTCATTGCAATAATGGATTTGTGAGCTGGTCCATTGTCTTGATGAAAACACACTTTTTTCTTATCCAACCGCGGCCGTTTTTGCTTGATTTCTTCACTAAAACGTTGCAATAAGTTCGTATAATACTCGCCGTTGAAAGTTTTACCTTTTTTAAGATAGTCAATGAACAAACGTTGCAATAAGTTCGTATAATATTCGCCGTTGAAAGTTTTACCATTTTTAAAATAGTCAATGAAAATCGTCCCACGCGCATTCCAAAAAACCGATGCTATGACCTTGTCTTTGCCTTCTTTGGAACCGGTTTTCCCTTTAGGTTCCGCTTTAGATGGCCCATGCGTAAGGTCCACGTATAAATGCTTCAATATTGGCTTCCAGATCGTCAGTCGTTGCTGGTTTATCCCTGTAGACATGAGCCTCAACATAACCCCACAAGAAATAATCCGACCCACCGACCCATAATTCACATCAAACAGTGACTTTTTCGGGATGCATCGGTAGTTTTTGCAAAGCTTGTGGCTGGTCTAGATGCGGCAATTTTGCTTGTTAACGTATCCATTCAACCAGAAATGAGCCTCGTCGCTGAACACAATTTTTCGATAAAAATGTGGACCTTCCTCCAACTTTGCCAGCGCCCACTCACCAAATGTTGGACGTTGTGGGAGGTCTTGTGGCTTCAATTCTTGCACCAGCTGTATCTTATAAGGTTTTACAAAATTTTCCACGTAGTGGATTAACAAGAGGCCCAATTGTTGCGAACGGCGGCGAATCGACATTTCACGGTCATCACGAACACTGGCGGATACATGACCTTGTCTTTGCCTTCTTTGGAACCGGTTTTCCCTTTAGGTTCCGCTTTAGATGGCCCATGCGTAAGGTCCACGTATAAATGCTTCAATATTGACTTCCAGATCGTCAGGAGCCTCGTCGCTAAACACAATTATTCGATAAAAATGTGTATCTTCTTCCAACTTTGCCAGCGCCCATTCACCAAATGTTAGACGTTGTGGGAGGTCGTGTGGCTTCAATTCTTGCACCAGCTGTATCTTAGAAGGTTTTACACCCAAATCCTTTCGCAAAATTTTCCACATAGTGGAGTAACAGAGGCCCAATTGCTGCGAAGGGCGGCGAATCGACATTTCACGGTCATCACGAACACTGGCGGATACATTCGCAATATTTTTTTCGGTTCTCACTCTACGTATGCGTGCGTGTTGGTGGTTTAATGTCCAATAATGTAAACTGGGTTCGAAATTTAGTCACAAGCTTCCGAATAGGCCGACGAAACTGCCCATGAATTGTAAGAGGCCTTATTGTACCAATTTTCTCCATTTTCACAAATTCACCGAAAACGTTCGCTATTGATGGCTGCCAAATAAATATTAAACAATGCAGTGTCTTCAAACTTGAAACATATACTTTATGGATTGTGTACTTAATAATACAGTGATATTTTTCAAACAACTACTGCCATCTCTAGGTCAGACTTGGTAATTCTAGCACCACCCTCGTAGCTGAGTGAACATAACCGCTTTTTGTTTAAATTAGCCAATCAGAACAGAATAGAATCGATAGATGATGACCATCGTATCAAAATATCAATCCTTCGCCAAGTAAATAATTTGATAATCAGAGTTGAATGTACATGTAAATTCCTCGTTGAGTATTATTATCAGACCATTACTTGAGAAGTTACGACATTTATATAAAGCCGTGGATTTGAACAGTGTTCGACGATGAAAAAAGAAAATTACAACTCTAACTTGCACACTTGCTATTCCGGGGCGTATCGCTAGTAATATATAAATTCATTGAAATCAAAAATCATTGAATTTTCTCATTTATAAATAGCGATATCTCCAAATCAGCACTTAATATCCATCTTAATCTTTAAGCGAGCTCCTGTTGAATATCACGTTTACTAAATAATCATAATCCTATCGACTATTTCAACTCTTATCAATTCTCAAATGCAATGCGGACAACAAACAACGGGTTTGTCATCGCCCCATCTGCCTGTGAACGAGGTAACCAACCGCATATCCAAAATTTGCCCAATTCCTCGTATAAGGAAAAAACTTTCACATATAGTCAGTGGGCATACTTAGAGACTGGCATTTATAGCCAGTCTTTGGTTTATAAAAAAAACTAATTAATGTGTGATTTTGACTATTTTCACTATATAATATAGTGAAAATCATACAATAGATAGATACATTTATTTCAACAGAGTATTTTATAATCATTCACATGAGTGGCAGAATATTTTTGTCTGAGAAATACGTCAAAAG